TGAGGACCTTGTTTGACCTTAGCAGAAAGCAGCCGGTTGGATCTGAGGCTCTGCTTGTGCTGCCTTGCTGGAGGGAGAGCCCTGCCCTTGCGCCCAGGTTTTTTGGGCGTGGAGGGGGGCAGCATGTGGCTATGGGAGGACTGATGATGAATCTCTCTTAGATAAAGCTAAGTTAGCCCCAGGACTGCAAATGGAGTGTATGTCTTTTTTCTCCACAGCCGGCTGTCCATCACATCCCTGGCTTCGAGGTAATGCCTGTCTCCTGTTCGCGGTTCCCAGGCTTTACACCCCTCAAACCGTCCCCTCCCCTGCCCCTGAAGAACTGCTGGGTCCCACCACCATCAGCTGCTCCATCCTGAGTTAGGGACTTAGTTTAGGATGAAGGAATCCCCATGTAGAGATGCCAGTTTCCTTCAGCTGACGGTAAAGGGAGCTGGAGTGAGCAGGGCAGCTCACTTTTGACCTGTAAGACAGCGAAAATGTATCCCATTCCAGATATAATTCCGCAGGTGTCAAACACCCCGTTACCTTCCTGCCCTGGGGTAATTTCGACATTTCGACATTCCCATCACGAAGGGCTGTGCTTCCCAACAGCTCCAGCGTTTCCTACCTTGCAGCCCGTCTGAGCAAAGGCATTAACTGATGCTGGATTTTAAATAGTTTTAAGTCACCTGCACTGATTTCTTCTCAAACCTCAGGGCGTGTGGCGTGCAGGAACGTGGAAAGCATCCTTTTTCTATTCAGTTGTCAGCTACCGTAAGCCCTAGGATGGGCTTAAGGATGAGAATTGTTCTAACGCTGTACTCTCCTTCTCTTCTCCAGAGCGAGCTGTCCTCCAGCCTGGATGAGGTGAGTCTGTAAGATTTGGTTGTCTCTTCATCTTGGAGATTATTAAAATTGTGCCTTCACGGGGCAGACACTTTTTTTCAGAAGAGTCAAGCCAATAGTGTCAGGATTTTAGTAACACGAGCGATCACCAGCAGGACGGTAGATGGGCTCCGTACTTAACCCACAAAGTGTTCCCAATGGCAGGGCACATCAGGTAATATTTAACTTCTGTGATATTTAACTGTGTGTGCATGAGGTCTGCTGGTGTTCAGCCCTGCCCAACAAAGCATGCAAAGGCTGAAATTCTGGGCTGGACCTCAACTGAAATCCCAGTTGAAAAGTTTACAACTTTTCATGGGGAATTTGCCATGAATTGGGGCACGTGCTGGACTGTTCCAGTTGCTCTGAAGGAGATACTCTCATCGGGATCCTAAGCTGCTGCTCGGGCAACCTGTCAAAATTGCTACCCAGAAACGTGCATCCTACAGAGCAGGTCACCGGCTGGACCAGGCGGTGTCAGGGCAGGATGGCATCCTGGAAAACACAGGGCAGGGGCACGTCTGTTTGAGTGTTGTGGTGGCCCTGGGAGCCAGTTAACCCCAAAATCTGCGAGGTGAGCTAGGAGGGACCTGGGGTGTGCAAAGAGCCTGGCCACATTTCCATGAAAGGTTGGGCGAGATAAATCCCTTTTTGCAAGATGGGTTTCTTCCAGCCAAGCAGCCTTTCCTGATGGTGTGGGGCTCATCTTTGTGCTCCATGTGGGCTGAGATGGATGAGCTCGTGTAAACATAACCATCTCTCTGCTCTTTCTCCTCCATTTCTTGCCACTGCCATTTCTGGATGGGGCACTCCACAGCTCTGCACCCCTGCCTTGTTCTACGAGGGGCTCCTCCAATGGGTACCTTTTATGCTCAAACACTTGACTCTCCTCTGTCCCTCTGCCTTTGCCCAGAAACCAAGCAAAGTCCCAACAGAGACTCTCAGACAGACCAGCTCCTACGGATGTGGCCTGGCCTGACCCACCTGCCCTGCAGGAACCCATCCAGACCAACCCACTGCGGCTGCATCCAAACGAGGGATGCCAGCCTGAGGTCTCCGGTGCCCTTGGCAGTGAATAACAAGCCGTATGGAGAATCTGGCTCATACATGAGTTGTTCAGGCTCATGATGTGTCAGAGCAACCAGGCTGGCATCAGACTTCCTTCTAATGCATTTCTGTTTGGTGCAAGTGGAAATAGCCTTTTGGGGCTAGATTCCCTCCAAGCACTGGGATTTAAGCCCCTCTTGAAACAACGTGGCTCAGCTTTGCCCTCAAACTGGGAGATGTTTCCAGCCACTGCTTTAACTGGGCTGATCCTGTATCAAAGTCAGGGTTGGATTAGACAAAGTCCAGAGCTCCGGTCCACCCTGATTCCCTCTGACTTGTCCTTGCTCAAACCATCCCCGCTGCCAGCAGACCCCACAGATCTTTTCATGGATGACTCCTCCATCCAGCCTGCTGTGTCGGGGTTGAGAGCTGTGTCTGGGAATTGCTTGTTCCCCCCTACCACCCTCAACCCTCCCTGCTCCTGCCTCATCCCCAGGACTCACTGCTCATTTCTGTCCTGTCTGGTGAAACATTTAACACTCGTGCATTCAGCTGTGACCCAGGAGCATCACTGCAAAACACCCAGGAGAGCAGCAGGGATTGAGAAGGACTTAGAAACGGCTTTGCTAACCGAAGACACTGCAGGGTTAGAAGCCAAGCGTGCACTGTTGGCTTTCAAAGTCGCTGGTGAACCTGGAAAGGGCAGGGGGTAGGCAGGAGGTCCTTCCTCAAGGCTTTCCCCTTTTCCCATACAGATTTGCCAGAGGATAGAAGGATTGAAATGATCTTTAGTCCAATGACGATAAGGAAATGCAACACATGATATTTGCATCAATCAAGATTTAGATGCCCTTTTAGGGAAAAAACCCTCCCTTTCTGGGAGCAGGCTGTGCAGCCGTCTCACAGGGGCTACGTGGAGTTTGAGCCTGCCTTGGGGTTGGAGGTGGGCTAGGTGACTTCTGCATCTCTGTTATGCAACTTAAATGCAACTTAAGCGCAACTTAAGCACATTTAGAGCTAGAAATGAGCGTATGTCGCTATACAAGGGCAGGCTGAGGCTGCTCTTGGTTCAGTCCATGCTTAGGCACCTTGATGTGCTCTAAGTGCTATGGGTCACAAACAAAAGGTGGGGCTAGCTCTTGGTGAGCCATTTGGTCTGTTCCCCTACCCCAAGGAAGGACCAGCTCGTGTTGACGGTGCAGTGTCTGAGCAGCCTGAAATTAAGGCTCTGGATAAGTTAGGTGGATTACCAGAAGTGCTGAGCACCCAACTTGGGGATGCTCTGCACCTCTCCCTTCTCCGTAGGCACTCACCTCCCAGGTAACCTGCCCTTTCCCCACGAGCGTGTGGACCATGGGTGGGAGGACTGCCTGCCCCAGATTTACCATCCGCCCCATGTAGGAACCCAGACATCTGCCCCGAAACGGAGTTACCGAAAGTCTTCAGCTAACAAGCAGCTTGGTTCACCAGCCACCAGCAATTGCCAATGAAAATGAGACCTTAACGTCTAGTATATCTAACGTACCACCATGAAAAAATCCCTTTGTAGAGCAGTTATATACATGCATATATAAACCTGAACCAATCCTATAATTGAAATACATCTACATGCTCAATGCAATGTAATAATACTCCAGCCTGAAAAGAATGCTGGTCTCCTAAATTGGTTCCAACTGCCCTTGGCTGAGGTTTTGCTTTCATTCCTGCCTTTTTGGTGACTCTGAACTCGCAGATGCAGGTCAAGAAGAACTCGAATGCCGGGAGGGGTCAGAGCCCGTCTTCTGCGAGCAGCTGGGGAAGTCTGGCTCCCTGTTTTCCTCCTTTGTCAAGGCAAATCTTGAATCCCATACCTGTGTCCAGATTCGGTCTCACTCTGAAGGAAATCTCCTTCTGTATACACTGTGCATAGACAGCTCTACCTGAGCTCTGTCCTGTGGCCAGCAGCTTGGCAGCTGCCACTTACGGTTTAGAGCTGAGCTGTTGTATGCACCACGGCCCCTTCCTGCACCCGGGGGCAGTGCCGACCCTCCATCCCATGGTGCTGACTCCACTAAATTGCTGCTTTTCGGGAGCTGGTCACAGCATCTCACTCTGTCCAACTCAAGAAGCCGTATTTCACTAATTAACCCCCTGCTGCCGCTTCATCCCATCTCCTCATCCCTCCACATAACTGTCTCACCACGGTCCCGGCGCAGGATAGATGTGGTTTCATCCCCTCCTCTCCTAAAGGGGGCTGAACCTTGATGGAGGGCAGATCCCCCTTAGTTCCCTTGGAAAGGCTCAGGGATCTCTCAGCAGTAGATGTTTGACCTTTTCCAGGGTCAGATTAAAGGGAGAGAGTCGGTTTGCAAGCACAATCATCCCCCCAGCCCTCATCTCCCCCTCTCTCAGTGTCCTGGATTTCTGGGAGAAGATGAGTTTTGCAGAGAAGAGGAGACCCTGGAGGGATGCAGTGTGGGGAGGGGGAGGCAATGGGGTCGACGTCCCATCGTGGCGTGACCTGATGTGCCCTTGGCATCTCTGCTCCTTGCAGTCTGCGGACTCTGACCTGCCATACCCCCCGCCCCAGCGGGAACCCAACATTTACATGGTCCCCCAAGGAATCAAGCCAGTCCTGCAGCGCACGGCCATTGAGGTGAGTGATGGGGAGCGCACGAGGCAGCTCAACCCCCCGCCTCCCCCAGAATAACACCCTGAATGGAGGTGGGGGGTGATGAGACCCAGAAATGGGATCCACGCCAGCTGCTGTGGATACAGAGTCCCACCGGAGCTGGTTCTGCTCATGGATTATCGGTCAAAAAAAGTTATCTTGCTGGGAAAATGGATGTCACCAAGCAGTCAAGTTCTAGCACAGAGCACAGCCCTGGACCACACCTGCTTTTTAGAAGGACAGTCTGCCTCACACTAGGATGATATTTGCCCAAAAGAGAGATGCTCCATTAATAGATAAGCGGTTGTAGACCTGGTGTATTGGTGCATACAGAGAAACATTTGCCGTGCGACCTGGCTTCTCCCAGCACTGGCTGTCCTACATGGTTGATTCATGGTGGGCCAACCTTCAGGTTTACCTCCATTGCCAAGAAGCTCGGTGAGAGACCTGGAGGCAGATCTCTGGCTCAGACTTTGCTGTCTGTTCCCCTCACCCTTCAGATCCTGGCCTGGGGGCTGAGGAACCTCAAGAGCTACCAGTTGGCCAGCGTCACCTCGCCCAGTCTGCTGGTGGAGTGCGGAGGCCAGCTTGTGCAGTCCTGTGTCATCAAGAACGTCAAGAAGAACCCCAACTTTGATGTCTGCGTGCTCTTCATGGAAGTGGTGAGGACCTGGTCCCCACCCTGCAGTGATGGGGTCGTAGCAGAGCTGGTTGGAAAGGACCTCAGGAGGTCCCATAAAAAACGCATCCTATGGTGGAGCTAATTCTGGTTCCCTTTGGGGTGGTGCAGAGTAGCTGCCCTCCCTGCCCCGCATAGCTACGTGTTCCCTCCTCTCTTCCCACAGCGTTTACCCAAGGAGAGCCTGTACAGCCCCCCCATCATCGTCAAAATCATCGACAACAGGCCATTCGGCCGAAGACCCGTGGTGGGGCAGTGCACCATCCGCTCGCTGGAGGACTTCTACTGTGACCCCTACCAAGAGGAGACGGGTGGTCCCCAGGAGCACTCAGGTACATGCTGCCACGAGGACCAGGCTGGTTGCACACCCGTGCCCTTCTCCAGGAGGATCTGTAGGTCGCTCTGTGCTTTGCTGTTGCCTCACCCCAGCTGTAGGTCTGCTACAAAAAGCCCAGGAGGAGTTCAGCTCTGGGGTTGGTTGGTGAGATGGGCTGTCCCTTGGCCAATGAAGATGAGCTTTGACCGGTGTGAAGGCTCTGGGCAATGTTGAGTTTGCTCCTGGAGGTTGTTCCCACGTTGGCTTGGCTTTGGGGTTTCGAACAGCTGGATGTCCTGGTCATGCTTGTGCTTGCTCTGATTGCAGATGATGTGAGCCTCACGCCCAGGGATGACGTCCTAATTGACATCGATGACAAAGAACCTCTTATTCCTGTCCAGGTATGGAAACAATCGCGGCGGTGGGAAGACACTGGTTTCTTGCTCTGCGTGATATGGGGGAACTTGTGCAGGTACAGGGCTGGGGTAGAGAGCAATGCAGATGCGAGGTCATGTCTGGTTGTAACCTTCCTTTTGCAGCTTCCACCTCGGTTTTCACCCCCTCTCCTCCACCACACCCCAACCAACAACTACAAACTCATCCTTCTCCCCTACGTTTAATACGAGGTGTCAGGTTTGCTTTTCCGGGGGAGAGACGACAGACTCTCTCCATGCCAGGCTCTTCCCTTTGGCGTCTCTTCCTCAAACCTGTGGGTCGGTTTGAGGCTGAAGAAGGTTTGCAGTCATCCCCTTAGGGTTCTGCTGCGCAGGATGCTCTCTTGGAAATGACCGTCACCGCCCCAAGGAGCTGATGGCCTTGAGGGGACTTACCCCAGCACCGGAGAGGGTGAACTGATGCTGGCAGATGGGACAGTTTGCCCAAGGCCACTCTGGGAGCAAAGGTTCCCTGAGGCTCAGTCGTCCTCACCACAACCACACGGCCAGGTCTCCTTTCCCCAGTTTTGCTCTTTGTTTGCAGGATGCTTTGCTGCTTCCAAACCCGCTCGCTGCCTTCAGCAGCTTCAGTTACTCTGCAGAAGGTTGTGGTGGGGACTGTGATTGCAGAACATCCCATGGTGGGGGGAACTGGACATCCTTGAGCAGGGAAGGAGAGATGTGTTGCTGCTGTTGCAGAGAGCAAGCTTCTCCGTGCTGTGAGTTTGAGGGGTCTCAGCTGTCCCTTGCAGATTGGGCATACCACTGGGCTTGCTGTTCCTCCTTCCTGAAGCACAGCTGGAGGATGTCTGGCCACACTGGTGCCACCAGGCCTGCTGGTGCTTTGCATTTCTATAGCCCTTGGGTTTCTTTGCCGGCAGATGTGTCCTCTTCGAGGCACAGACCTGGCAGTGCCGACGTGTGCGTGTGCGATGCACAAATCTGTAGGTGAGCCTGATTGCTCGGGAGCAGCTGAACGTGTTGTCAGAGGCGTTTGGTGCGGCTTGTCAAGATCTCCTGTTCCCTTTGATGTATTTAACAGGCCCTGGCATTTCCTTCCTCCCTGTTTTAAAGGTTGTGGGTGCTACCTGGTACCTCGAGCTAGAAAAGCCTGAGCTTTCTGTAAGAGATCTGCCTCTCGGGTATGTCTCTTGCCTTGCCTTTCACTGCCCATAAAAGCAAGCGGTATAATTTGGGCATCAATGCTTCTGCTCTTTATTCAGCTCCTTGGTGGCACCTCAGAGTTTCTACTCACGAGGACTTTACGATCCACTGATCCGTGCCATCAGATACCTGCGGTCGTGTCCCAGGATGGGCTCGGACTGGGGTCCCAGCATCGGGCTGTGCCTGGAGATTCAGAGCTGGAGCCGGAGCTGCACCTCTCTCCTTGCCGCATCCCTCCTGCTAGGTTGGCTGCTTTAGGTCTGGGCAAATCCTCCCTGCGGCCGAGCAGGCGTTGCTCAAGCAGGAGTGCGCGTTGCATACTGCAACCTCTGCCCAGTTCAAGGCTTTCAGGCTTTGGGCTAAAGAAAAAAATCAAGGTTTTGGCCAGTGCTTGGCAAAAGCTGTGGGTGTGGGACTCTAGCTTGTTGCGGTCTTGACCGCAGCTGGCCCTGCTCATGCCTACCTGTCCCAAGCATTGATGAGATCCAGGCTGGTGCTCTCAGGCAAGGTCACCCCGCAGTCCTTGCAGCGAGGGATGCCAAACGAGCTGGGTTTTCGGGTTCCCCATCAGCCAAGAGGTGGGACGTTCATATGCTCAGCTCCCTGGGATGCTGGCATCTTGTCCTGGGATGCTGGCATCTTATCCTGAGATGCTTCAGTATCGATTAGGAGCTGGATGGTGGAGTTTGAAAACATTGGCCCAAGTGAACAAGTGCTGTTGAAAGGAAAAAGCAACCCCAGACAGGGAATACTACTGACAACCTAACTGGCTTTCCCTTCGCTTGCCATTTGCAGATTTGTCTTAATAATTTACAATTGTGTTTCATCTTGTATCAGCAAAGTAACTGGAGCATGTCTGTTAAAAAAAACACTCCAAAATGAGTCTTGGAAGAGGAACCTTCACTTCTGCAAATAACCCCCCCCTTTTTCTAGCCCGGCACAGAAAGCACTTGGGAGAAAAGTGAGGAGGTCAGGCAATAACGTGCACAGGAGGGTTGGGGTGCAGGGCGTGCCGTTACCTCTAATTAGCCGCGTGATGCTGGGCAAGCCATGTCCCTTTGCTGCACCAAGGAATCTGGTGGCAGCTGGTGCCGCCCCCGAGGCTGCAGGACCCCCTGCAGAGACAGCTGTGGGTGGGGTGGGTCCCCAGGAAAGGGTCAAAGCACCCAGGGATGGGTTTCTGCTCCCACGGTGATGGGCACAGACCTAATTCAAGGGCAGGGAGCGCATGTGAAGGACGGGAAGGTGCTGTCTCATGGCAAGAGGCCGGGTGGAGTTTGCTGTAGCCGCGGGCTAAGACCGCCGTCAGAGGGTTTTTCTGGCCTCCTCCTGACCCGTGCCCAGGGATGGGGCAGTGATAGGTGGACTGGTCTTGCATCTGCAACTGCAGAAAACTGCGAAGGCGTCGTTTCTTATTTTTTTAATAGAAAAATCTACCCAACTTTCAGTTTGGTTTGACTAAATCTTTTGGGGGGCATATTCTGAAATCTATGGTTTAAAGTCTTCCCATTTCTTTTTTTTCTCTTTGGTCAGTTTTCAGTAAAAATGGTCTTGCGTAGCAAAATAACAACCTGCAGCATTTCCGATGTGCGATGCTGCTCTTTGAGAGCATCAGAACAACCATCTCCATGCTGGTCCTCTGCTGCCTTTTCCTGATGGCAAAACCATTTGTTAAATGCAACTCATTTTACAAAACGTTTCCTTTCCTCTGACCCTCATCTGCCAGTACCATTTCCCACCCCTGATTTTTCTGTGCCCGTGCCGGGGTCGCTCCACACCCGTTCCTGCTTCTTCTCCTGTGACTTTGGTGGAGGTAACAAGAGGGGAACGCAATTCCCTTTGGGAACCCAGGGTTTTGACCTAAATTGGCTTCCTCGCAGGCAGCCAGCACGGCTGGGGCTTGGGCTGGCTGCTGCAGCGCAGGATGAGGCGGATGCTTTCAGCCTCGTCGCTAATTACCCTTTAACTCTGCTTAATGGAAATACCCCTGCTTCGTTTTGCCAGTGGTTTATTAACCCGGTGGCTGCTTTTTTTGAGGGAGGTGAGGGGAGGAAAATTTCCTCCCACAAATGTCCTTTATGAGAGCTGCAGGCAAAGGCACTGCTGGGTGCCGAGAGGGGGCTACGGCCATCGCGGGACCCCGGCTCGGGGCTGGCGTGGAGCCGGGGTCCTCTCTGAACCGGTGCTGAAGGTGCCTGGCCAAGGTGGCACTGGGTGTTCATGCTCTACGGGGCTGGTGGGACTCCCAGTTTGCACCATTTCCCCTGCCTTTGCTCTATGGGCGGGATGGAGGGGGCACCCCGGGGTGCTCCCACCCTGGGGGGACTCCCTGCCTGCAGGAGATGCCTCTGCCCGGCTCTGCCGTGCCTGCTGTTCCTTGAAATGCTCTGGACAGATTGCTATGGCTTTTTAATGAAAAGGCATCTTTTTTCCAGATTTTTCTTTACTTTGGGCACTTTCTAGCAGCAAAAAATCAAGAATGTTTTTCGTGTTAATTTTGCAGCACTTCATTCACTTCCAGTGCTTCCCCCCGAGGACCCATTTGCCTTTTCCCTGTTTCCCCCCGGTTTTCTTGCACCTGGAGATGAGGGCAAGGCAAGAAAGAGAAACCCAGGGCTCACACTCCTCTTAAGATTTGCGCTCCAAAAATGGCAGAATTTCAAATTTCTTTTGGCTTCCACCTTTTTTATTGCAGTTAGTTTGGAAAAGAAAATGAAAAATTGTCCTTCAAAGCTTTTTTTCTTTCCCTCCCCCCATCTTTGGCCCAGCGTTAACCGTGAACATGCCTGTTGGTGGCACGGAGGGTGCAAGCCGGAGATCGTAGGTGCTGTGTAGACCTGTGTGCATCTGCATTTAAGGAACCGAATGTGCAAACCCCCATCAGTGCTGAGGTGATGCTTTGGCCTCATCCATTGCTGGGGGACCTCTTGGAGATGCTCCAGCTCCCGTCCTTTCCAAAACTTTGCTCTGGATGCTCTTGCCCAAACATACTTTCTGCTCTTTACCAGTTTTTAAGGTCAGTGCAATATCTGAGTACTCCTGTAGAAGCTGTAGGCACTTCTGGTGGCATGCCAGATCCAGGTCCGTCTGTCTTTCTTTTGAATTACACCCTGCCACTCATCCTTCTTTGACAATTTGTGTGCTTTCTATACAAATTCATGGAAGAATGCTCTTTCCTTTTTTCTGAAATTCTTCTCTGAGACTTTGGGGTGCTCCTTGTCCTGATGGAGACCCAAACACCATGGAGGGGGTACACAGATCAATGTTTCATCCTCGGTACAGTTGGCTCTGCATCCACTACTTGCTTTCAAAATTAGGACCACTGTCCTGTCCGTGGCAAGTTGGGACCCATCACAGGGACCTGGTGTACCCCCAGCAGCAGGGACGCAACTCTAGTAGAGCTAGAGCTCTGTGACATGGAGGTGGCCCTTGGTGGCCAGACTCTCATCTGGCAGGAGGAAATGAGGTTTCCTACTGACCTGGAAGCAAAATAGGCATTTTTGGAAGATGACAACCAGAAAACAGGATTCCTGTCAGAGAACAGAGGGATGTTGGCACTCGGATCCTCAGCATTTCTCTGCCACTGTTTGCTTCTGGATGGAGGTGAGGACCCGTCACCAGCCTGGAGATGTTGCAGACCAAGGGGAGCAGTTACTGGGTTTGGGGCTGCAGAAGGGGGAAGATGCATCTTCCAGCAGCCTCAGGCCCTCTCTTTGTGCTGCCGGAGCCATGGGCACGGCTGAGTCCCGGTGGTCTTGGTTGGTGTTGGGATGGAGAAGTTGGTGACAGCTGATCCTCCGCGG